CCTCCCAGCCCATGGATCCCCCTGTGCCCCATCCCCACCTTGTCCCCCAGCCCAGAGCACTGAGTGCCACGGCCAGGCCTGCCTTGGACACCTGCAGGGCTGGGCACTCCAAACCTCCCTGGGCAGCCCCTGCCAAGGCCTCACCACCCTTTCCAGCCACAAATTCCTCCTCCTGGCCAACCTGAGCCTTCCCAGGCTCCTCCCTCCTGTCAGGGAGCTGGAGAGAGGGATGATGTCTCAGTTGGGCTGTGGGAACCAGCACAGGGCCCTGTTGCTCAGAGCTGGGTGGAGGTGAAGCTTGGAGGGCCTCAGGAAGTTTGTGCAATTGCCTCATTTCCTCCCCAGACTCACCTCTCGAGGAGACGCTGGGTTGGTCGTGGTCGGTCCCAGCTCACCACAGCCACGCTGAGGGCCAGAGGCTGCTTTTCCTCTGCAGCAGCTGAACCCACAAACGGAACAACTGCTCCACCTGCTCTTGGTGGAAGAAAACAGCGACTGCAACACAGAGCAGAACCTGAGGACGAAGATTCTGAGCACAACCCAGGCTTTGACCAGACCCAAAATGCCATTTTGGATTATTTTTTCATTTTGGACTATTTTTTCCTTCTGTTGGCCTTTTTCCAATAAAACAGAGAAACACCCCCAAATTTATTCCCGTTTCCTGATCAGTCCCAAACATTCTCTGTGCCCCATCTTTGAGGGGAGAGCTCTCTGGGCCCTTGCTGACCTGGTGCATGGGGCACCTTCCCAGCCAGCCTGGGTGCTGAGGAGCCCACAGCTGTTATTTTGACTGGAATCTGAATGGAATCAACTCCCTCATGTGGGAAGGGACAGGGGCCCATCCAGAAGAAATAGTTTAATTTCCAGCCACTCTGTAAGGCTCTCAGGACCAGCCCCAGGCGAAGGGTGAGGTGCAGGTTGGTGATTCCCTGTTCCCTCACGGTGCAAACCCCACAGTCCTGTTGTGGGGCCGTGCTGGGCTCCCTTTGCCCGTGTCCCCTCCCAGCCCCAGGTGCTGAGGGCTCAGTTCCCCCTCTGGGCAGGAGGCACCTGAGGGGCCGCCTGTGGAACAGGGAGGTGCTGCGAACCATGGACACCAGATCTTCTCGTGCCACCTCAGGCCCACAAAAATGTCACAGCTGCTGCTCCCCGAGACATTCAGAGCAGGATCAGAGGGGAACTGGTGGTGTTTGGGGTTGGATTTTCGCACAGACCTCAGTGCTGCCCCTGAGCCCTGACGGGACTTGTAGAATCGTGGACTGGTGTGTGTTGGAAGGGAGGGGGACTGCCCCCGCTCCCCGGGCAGCCCGTTCCCACGTTTAATCCCACACTGTATTTAATGGACTATAATGGATTTTCACCGCTATTTCCACCGTTTTGGCGCTCTGGCGCGGGACGAGGCCGATCCTTTTGTCCCCTCGCGGTCTCCGTGGCGGCGCCCTCGGCGCGGTCCCTCAGGGCTCCATCTTTGAAGCGGGCGGGATTCCCGGTGCTCCCCGGCGGGGCGGCGATTCCCGGGCACGGCGGCGGGAATACCGGCACGGGGGCCGGGATGGGGGCCGGGATCAGGGTCCCCCGGCCGTGAGCGGCGGCGCGGGGGGCTCGGCGGGGCGGGCAGGGGGCAGAGCAGGAGCCGTGCCCGCAGTGAAGAGGGCAGCGGCGGCCTCAGCGGGGGTGGGGCCCGCGCGGCGAGAGCGGGAACGGCGGAGCGGCGGAGCCGTGAGGGGCTGCGGGGGGACCGGGGGGAGCCGCCAGGGGGGACGGAGCGGCTGCTGAGGGCCGAGAGGGGCCGTGAGGAGCGGGGAGGGGCTGTCAGGGGCCGAGAGGGGCCGCGAGCACTCGAGGGACCCGCCGTGAGGGAGCCGGGACCCGGCCGCCGCCGCCGCCATGCACGTCGTGAAGCGGGGTGAGGGCTCCGTCCTTCCCGGGGGGGCCCTCACGGCACCCAGCGCAGGGGAGGGGGCCACGGCCCTGCTCGGGGCACCCGGCGTGAGGGCATGGGACCCCTCGGCTCTGGGGGTCCCTCTCAGGGCACTCGGAGTGATCAGATGAGGTCCCCGGGGTGTTTTGGGAGGTTCTCTCGTGGCACATGGAAGGATGGGGTTCCCTCTGCTTTGGGGGTCCTTCATGGCACCCGAAGGGGTATCCCCCTTTCCCATTCTGGGAGGTTCCCTCCTGGCACGTGGAGGGACGGGATCCCCGCGGCTTTGGGGGTCCCTCTCGGGGCGCCTGGTGAGAGGGGAGGGTATCCCCCCATTTTGGGAGGTTCTCTCATGGGATATCAAAAAATGAGACCTGCCCAGGTTTAGGGGCTCCTCTCGTGGCACCCAAAGTGAGCAGATGGGGTCCCCCCTTTAGCTTTGGGGGTTTCTCATGGCACGTGGTGTGAGGGGATGGGACCCCATGTGCACCCCATCAGTGTGGGAGCTCCCCTCTGACACCAGTGAGGGATGAGTCCCCTCTGTTTTGGGAGACCCCCAACACACACACACATTCCACACACCCCCTCTTCCCGCAGTCCCCCTCCACGCCCCCATCGCAGGAGCTTTGACCTTGGTCCCCACCCCCTTGGTCCAAGGGATGCTGGCCCAGGGGAGGGGTCCCCAGCCTGAGTGGATGGTGGGTGACCCTCAACTGGGTCCTCACCCCTGGGATTTGGGTTTGTGCAGTTTAAGATGGGAATTTCTCGGGGTGGAAGGGGAGCCTCCCCCCTCCTGGGGCCCCACCTGAGCAGGCTGTCCCTGGTGATCCCCACCCCAAATCTCCCTGCAGGAGGGGTGCTGGGAGGGGGGCACTGTGCTTACCTGGTTCTGACTGGTGCCAGACTGGTGTGACGTGGCCTGTTGTCCCCAGATGGGCGCCAGGAGCGGGTCATGTTTGACAAGATCACGTCACGCATCCAGAAGCTCTGCTACGGCCTCAACGCCGACTTCGTCGACCCTGTGAGTCCCACGCTGCCCTGCTGTCCTGTTCCCTGCCCCTCATCCAATGAATCCTGCTCTGGCCTGTTCCCAGATCCTCATCCTGGCTTGGAGCTGCCCTGACCCCAATTTCTTCTGGGAAAAGCTGCACCAGAACTTTTGGGGTGTCCTGTGCCAGGCCAGGAGTTGGAATTCAGTGATCCTTGGGGATCCCTTCCTGCTCAGGATGTTCTGTGATTCCCATATAGGGCCTCAGTTCTCCTCACAAAGGAGTCACCCACTACAACTACCCTTCTTTTTTTCTTCATAGCTGTGGTTGTAATCTGTCTGGTAGATGGGGTGGAACCAGGAGACCCTCCAGACAGATCTTCCTCCTGACTGTCCTCTGCCTGACTCTCTGGGTCCGGGCCCTCAGACCTGTTCTTTAAGGGCACCTGAGAAGGTGATGGGGGTCGGGAGGGGGTTCTTTTACCTCTCAGGGTAACAGGGACCTGTTTCCATTCCCCCCCATCTGCTCAGTTTGCCCCATCTGCCTGATGGCAGGAGGGGCAGGGCTTCACCGTCTCCTGCTGGACTTCCTTGGGGGTCGAAAGGGTGCGACTCCAGCTTTCACTTTCCCTGATGCTTCTCAGCCTCTCCACCTCTTCCTGGAGCTCTGCCACCAGGCACAGCAGATCGTTCACCTGCTCACATCATACACTCACACTGTCCTCTGGTACTAAAGCTTCATTTCCCAAGCTGTGCAGGATCTGGGATGCATGTTGGAAGCTTCTCCTCCCAAAGCCTGTGCACAGAACGACTTCCCCGTGGATCCGCTGATGTCTGTGAGATTTCTGTGCCGATCTCAGACCCAGTCTCGTCGTCTGGAGTTGCCAGTTGGGGCTCTTCCCATCTCCCAATTTCTCATGATCCTTTCTCCTGTCTGAAATTGCACCTGTCCCAGAGTTGCCATTGGTTCTGCACCCAGAGGTCTTTGGGATGGAGAGCAGGGGGAGGACACTGGTGACTTGGTCATTGGAGCGTGAAGGGTCCTGACTTGCCCTCAGTGACCTGGGAATAGATTTCACAGAATATTCTGAGTTGGAAGGGGCTCATAAAGTTGAGTCCAACCATAGAGTGGCCCACACAGGGATCAAAGCCACAACCTTGGTGTTATTGGCACCGTGCTCTGACCAACTGAGCTCGCCTCAGGGTCTGTGCTGAGGGCAGCAGTGAGGCTCCAAGTCCTCCTGGCTCCTAATACCCCAAATTCTTATTTATTCTGCAGTCATGTGCGAAGATGAATTTCTCCTTTGAGAATGAGTCTGCTGGGACTTGGATGTGCTTGTGCCAGACGCTTCCCCAGCCAATACTAACCCTCCCAACCTCTCGCACTAACATTCCCGTGAGGTTGTAACTGTGACGAGTTGTGCAAAAGGTAACAGTGCAAAAAGCTTCAGTAGAAACTGCTGTGACCTGGGCAATCCTGGCCTGGTCAATCCCATTGCCTGCAAACCATCCTTACACAGGATCCCAGATTGGTTTGGCTTGGGAGGGACCTCAAAGCCCATCCAGTGCCACCCCTGCCTTGGGCAGGGACACCTTCCACCAGCCCAGGGTGCTCCAAGCCCCGTCCAACCTGGCCTTGGACACTTCCAGGGACACAGGGGCAGCCACAGCTTCTCTGCCCAACCTGTGCCAGGGCCTGCCCACCCTCCCCAGTCAAGAATTCCTTCCCAGTCTCCCATCTAACCCTGCCCTCTGGCAGCAGGAAGCCATTTCCCCTTGTCCTGTCCCTCCAGGAAACAGTCTCTCTCCACCTTACTTGTCAGGTCCTGGCAGGCCCCAGTCAGGCTCCTGGAGCCTCCTCTCCAGGTGGGCACCCCCAGCTCTCCAGCCTGTTGGGTGTTTTCCTGTTTGGTATTTCCCTGCAGGCGGGCTGAGCGCTGCTGCCGGCCGTGAGGCCCACCATCCGTGGGCTGGGCTGTCAGGGTGGGGGGTTCCTGACCTGTGGAATGTTGTCCTTGCAGGCGCAGATCACCATGAAGGTGATCCAGGGGCTGTACAGCGGCGTCACCACGGTGGAGCTGGACACGCTGGCGGCTGAGACCGCCGCCACCCTGACCACCAAGCACCCCGACTACGCCATCCTGGCCGCCCGCATCGCTGTCTCCAACCTGCACAAGGAGACCAAGAAGGTCTTCAGTGGTGGGTCAAACGTCCTGCTGCTCGGGGGGATGGGAGCTTTGGGGGACGGAAATAGGATTTGTGACAAGTGCACTGTTCAGTGCTTGGTGCTGAGCAGGCAGAACAGTTGTGTGTTTGTGGGCTGGAGGGCGTTGTTTTGGAGGATGGGCATTCCTGCCTCTCCTGTCCCTCACCCCAGTGCCAGGTGATGCAGGTGCAGGCCTGGGGATGTCCTTTTCACTTCCCTTTCCTTTGCAGATGTGATGGAGGATCTCTACAACTACATCAACCCTCACAACGGGAAGCACTCCCCAATGATCTCCAAAGAAACTCTGGACATAGTTCTGGCCAACAAAGATGTAAGCAGTTGTTTTTCTGCACTTCTCAGTTTTCAGAATTCAGTGAGATACTTTGGATCATTTATTTTTATTTCTTAAGCAAGCCATGTTTGTTCTAGAGCAAAAAGCCCACACAGAAACCAGTGCAGGGAATGACTGGAGGGTGTAAAAGAGGGGATGGAAGAGTTTCCTTCCCATCAGGATGTTTCTGTAGCAGAATCTGTTTCCTTGGGTGTCCCCAGTGCTGTGATCAGCACAAGTGATTAAAGTACCCTCTGCTGGAGCAAAGTGAGGCAGCACAGAGGGGACAGAGGAGGTTTGGGTTCAGGTTTTGGCCAGAAATACCAGGCAGGAATAGCATTGTTCCACCTTAACGAGGCCCCAGGGCTGATTGTAACATCAGTTTTGTCTGTTGTTCCCTGGCAGCGCCTGAACTCTGCCATCATCTACGACAGAGACTTCTCCTACAACTACTTTGGCTTTAAGGTAAAGAGCACATTACTCAGACTGCTGGGAAGGATGGGAATGCTTGTGCATTTGCCTGGGTTGGGGCAAGGGGGGCACTGGAGGAGGTGGGACATCACTGGGTTATGAAGGACAAAGAGTGAAAACCTGGACGAAGCAGCTCCCAGTGGGATAAATCGTGGAGTGTTCCTTGCTGCTGGAAGGGCTTGTAACTGTTGGGCTCTGTTTCACAGCACATCACACTGGATGTTGTTGAAGG